CCGCTTCTTCCCGGAATGGCCGAGCGCGCTGGGATCCCAACCTGGGAAGGACTCGCCTTTGGACGGAATAGTTTGGTTTTGCGTTTGGGAATAAGTGCTTCTTACTGAACGGATCGGAGTTGGACAAAGATTCCCTGACTCTTTTTCGGCCTCCCTTCCCAGACATGAACTTGCCAGCTGTCACTTGGGTTGTTTAACCCGCTGGACGATCAGGTAAAATTCGCTTTTTTTGCGTTCTTGCCCGGGGCAAAATGGAGTGACTCTCAATAACCTGGCTTTGTGCGTGGGCTATCTTTGTGTCTGCGGGTTTCTCGGCTGGGATTTCTTCCGCTCTCCGTCTGATCATGGCAATATTGAAGGATCGACCGTCTGTTTTATTCAGTTCCAGGGTGGAGTGGTGGTGTTGTGGGGCGGAATATCTCAAACCATTGTATTGCTTTCCTTTCTTGCCTCCTGGGTTTGTCTTTGCGGATGGCTCTGAGAGCTTCAGAAAGACAGGAGTTGGAAGAATCGGGATGGAGAATTTCTTAGATAGTCCTAGGAGTTTATCCTCCCTTCCCAGGACTGAAGCCCTTCCATTAAGATTGATCCTGGTCCTTTTTAGTCAAAGCAAGCAAGCAAACCATATTCTGAATATATCCTGGGAAAATAGGGAAGTCTATTTGGGTTTACAGTAGTCATCCTAGGTTCCAGAAGGGTTCGGGTGAACAGATTAATGGAGAAGGTCTTTGATTTATGTTCAACAGTAATTAAGAGACTTATGGACATTGTTGTTGAGGTCTTTGGCTTTGCTGGTTATGAAAACGAGGATGGTAAAAATCTGGAGTTACCATTTTTGCTTCAAGTTAGCTGGTTTTACCGGAGTGTAAAACAGGATGTCCTTGTATTGTCCAATGTTGTTATCCAGCCGATCTCCAAGATGCCTAAACTGGGCATCAGAGTTGAGTGCTGGATAGAGCTAAACCCATTTTCTTTTGCCAAAATTTACAAAAGGGCAGAATAATTAAGGGGCAAGAACCTATTCTTGTATTTTCCTTCTTAAACATTTTCTTTTTTGTTTGCTGCCAATGATCATATGGCTTTTTCCCGAGCAGCACGGTTTCATTGTGGAGGGAAGCTCTGAGACAAGTTTTCATTTGTGAAAATTGTACATTTTATTTCATTTGAGAACCTTTAATGGCAGAGAAGCTTTGAGATTCGTTTTTAGGTTTTTAAAAAATATTTCATTTGAAAACCTTGAAATTGAACTTTGAATGGTTTCCCTAGAATCCTTGGGCAGTCTCCATATTCAAGAATTATTTTAGTTCCTGCAAAGTTGCTTAGATTGTGTATGCTTAGATTAAGCTCAGATAGTTCTTTTGTGCCCTACATTTTATTAAAGATAGACAAACCGTACTGCAGTTAATGCTTCAGAAGTATTTATCTGATTTTATCTTTATCTCTGCTTGAAAGTAAAAGACATGAAACTGTAATTTTTGCATTTGACTGTTAGAACTGTTTCTGGCGATGGAAATACTGTGTATTGTTGGTTTTAGAGTAAGAGGTTAATGCATTTTATATTTTATACCAAAGAAAGTTGGAAGGGTGGTTTTTTTTCTATCTCCCCCCTTTTTTCTTTTCTGCACTCCTAATTTTGTTCTTTTTCTGAACTTTTCTTTTTCTCACTCCTGTTTTTCTGTTTCTTTATATTTTGCCTTTTGGTTGAAATTAATAACTTTCTTTAAAAAATGCTCTGTCTTTCAACAAACCTGTGAGGTAGATCCTTCTAGGAATAGGAACTGCCCTAAATGCATCCATTGAGGTCGAGTGACAATTCACAGCTAGTTTTCAGTCCAGAGTTATATTCCACTGGCAGCCTCTGTGTTTATTTCTTAGATTTAAGTCCCAACTTTTTAAAAAAACTTCAAAGCAGCATATATTCCACCCCGCAACCCCCACAACAACAACTCTGAGGTAGATTGGGCAGAGAGACCTAACTGGCCCAAATCCTTTGAGTTGCCAGGGCTGAGGGTAGGACTCGAACCCCAGATCTTGATGCAATAGCTGCATTCCCTGACTTTCTCCTTGGCTGGCAATCCCTTGCCTGATTTTTTACGCCTATATATGCATGTGGGTCATTTTTGTTACCAGCTCTGTTGTGTTCTCAAGTCCAATGACCTCAGGCAGGTGGAGCAGTAGCACCAACAGGCAGCCTAATCCATTGGTATCTGTGAAGAAGGGGAGGGGGGGGTCACTGCCTCTTTGCTCCCCCTCCGTGAAATAAATCCTCCCAGGTTTCTCTGGATTGGAGATGAATGGAAAAAGCAGCTGGGCTGTTTTTCCACCTCTGTCTTCCCCAGTTCCGTCTTGATGGGGCGAGAGCCAGACTAAAAAGCCACAGAGGGGGCCTTGATGCAAATCCATCTCCCAGCTCCTAATTACGGCTTGGGTGATCTTTCTCTCCCCCTCTTCCTCCTACACCTTCATTTAGGCGGCTTAGTGGGTTGGATCCCACTTGCTTTCAAAGAAAACCAAAAACCAAAACCCTTTCATGTCAGGGCAGAGTTGATGTTTTTGCAAGTGCTTGGCCTCGGCATATGCCAAGAAAACAAAAGCGCCAACCTCTTTTCTGTCTGGACAGGAAATAGATATACTCTACTAACAAACACAACCTCCCCCCCCCCTTCCAATCCCACAAATAGACATTTTGCCTTTACGGCAGAACATTCCTTGATGGAAGAGAAGAAGGGGGGGGGGGAAGGGGAAAAAAAAATCACTGATGTGTCTCGGCCAGAGAGGTTTGCTGACATTTAACATTTGAAGCCAAAGCAGTCCGTAGCCTGGAAGGCTGAAAGGGAGGCAGGGAGAGAGTAGTGTGTGTGTGTGTGTGTGTGTGTGTGTGTGAGAGAGAGAGAGAGAGAGAGAGAGAGAGAGAGAGACAGATACAGTACTTCCTTCTCCGCTCCCTTTGCTTATTTGCACCGTTTTTCTCCCTGGAAGTCATGAGAGTTTAGCTTTGGTCGAAAATGATTGAGGCTCAATGGGGGACACTGTCTCCATTCCCCCTGCCCCCCTTCCTTCCTGCCTTCCTTTTCCTGTCTCAAAAATCTTGCTCATCGTATTTTAATTCTCATGCATATTTTACCTATGTAATCATACGCATTTTACTCGTCAGATTCTAGCATCCAGGTTTGCGTGTGCAGAGTTGCACGTGGGAACCTCCTTCCCTCCCCACCCGCCCTTCAGTGTGAAAAGTGGCAAGAGGTCAAGAGGAGATTCACAAAATGGATGCACCCATCGCTTCCCCCCTTTCAGAAAAATAACACACACCCCTTTTAGCCATGCCGGGATTAGTCCTAAATCCTGATAGAAATTACCCCATTCCTTCAAAATGGGACAGTGCCTGGAATTCTGCCGCTCTCTTAATCTACAAGATGATAAAAGTTTATTCATTCCTGCTAATAAACTCCCATTTCTGGCTGTGTTTTGTTCTACAGTTCGGTCACATTTTTCATGCGGTAATTTTTTTTTGTTTAAATAGTGGAAAACATCCTTGAGTAATTTTTGACTTCAAATCCTGGATGGAAGTCAAACAAATTCAATCCAGAAAAAATGAGTGATCTTCACATCTCTTGTTTGACTGACATCAGAAAGTTTATTTGTAAAGGGGATGGTCAGAGACCCTCCTCTTTGGTTTTGATGGACAGTTAGGTCAGATTTAGTTTCTCATTTACCTCAGGTGGTTTCTTATCCTTTTTCTGTGTCCTACACGGAATGTCTTCCTTGATAGCCAGCAGATGCTACGGTCCTGCATTTAATCCTGGACTAAATACACCTCAGTTTTTACTTAGCCAACATCCCCAACAATTTTTATACGGCATATTTTCCGAGAGCAATCATCATATTCTTTCAATTTTGGCAGCTTCTTCTCCTTTTAAATATTTGTACCAAATTGTGAGGAAACCTGGCTTTTCTCTTCATTTCATATATGACAGTTGAAGGAGGTTTGAGCTGCATGTGTTTGGTATACAGTATCTCAGTATGAAATTAATTCCGTCTTTCTTTTACAAACAGTGGGATTATGTGTACACTTCCATGGCATGTGTAAAATTATGTTGTGAGAGAATGAACATATTTGGAGAGAGAGTGACAGAGAGACAGACAGAGAGAGGAGGGGAATGTTTCAGCTCTATTTTCAAAGCTATTATTTTGTGTTACATTTTGGCTTGTATCTTGAGGTTGAAAAAGCCAGGAGGAATCTGTTGAAGCCAAAGAAAGAAGATGACTCGCCCAATTATCTGGGACACCCATGTCTTCAATCTTCCCAATTTAGTTTATAAAATCCTGCATTTGCTTGGCTGTTTGACTACCATGATGAATCTGTTGGCAGATAATGCTAACAGTATTTACACAGTTGGTAATCAGGATTCCAAACGGATGATTCCTAAATGCCAAGAATAAATCTGAATTTCTGTCTTGCTTCCTTTAGAATGGTACCTCTTCAACGTCTAATAAATAAAACCCTCATACTTTTCATTTGGCTTCTGAAGTGATCATGCTGGAAATACTTCTCTCTGAATCCACTGGAATTTACTTTTGAGCAAAGATACAATGGATCAGGCACAAAATTGCTTTATGTTTGCGAGTGTGTTTGTATGCACGCAGGCGTGTGTTCTGTCATGGGCTTCCATGCGGTGTGTTAATCTATTTTTAATTCAGTTGTTTGAAGATAGGTTTGGGTATAGCTTACTTGCTTCTCTGAAGTTCCGGTTGGTTTTCTATGCATAGATTTTTTTTAAATTAGATATTTATTTCCTTAACAACGAGCCTGGATGCTAGGCCAAGCTGGACATCTTCCCCCCTTCATGAATGTAGGTGAGTGACAAATCTCAGCGCAGCTCTTGTTAAGATTTTTGAAATTCCGTAAGAAAATACAGCGGTGACAGTTGAACTTCTCAAAGCTACATCCGCACAGTGTGCTATCTGGTATATTTCATTGTTTGTACTAGTACCTAAGTCTCATGGGTGAGGTAAGGAATGTTTGACTGAAATTACTAAAATGGTTCATCACATAGAACCACAACCTACCTACTGAATCCATTTTGTAGGAGGCCACGGTAAAGCAATTCTCTACGCTTTTACTTAACGGCTTGCAGTGGGATTGGAGTGAAGGAAACACGCTTAAAGAAAAGGGAAAGGAAGAAATACAACTGATTAATTGGAAGGAAAGACATTTGGGAACTTGATGGCCAAATGTTTATTGTGATCATGTTGGTTTTGTGCCTCTGAAGCAAACTCAAACCTCTGACATTTGCATCTCTTCACATATAGTCTGCTTCTTCTTTTCATAGCAAAGTGCAAGATGTGATACAGGCTGAACGTTGGTATCAGCTTCTCTGCATGTTAACTGATAGGGTTTACTCTTTTAAAAATCTGATGTGTTACATTGGCTTCTCGGATTAGGTTGTGGATTTGAAATATTGCCCCAAGAGTTTTAGGAGAAAAGATTGGAGTCAGATTTGTGAAGGAAATCAGATTTGTGATAGGAGAAGGTTCATAATTAAGCTAATTAAGGAACATCTTGCAATAGCTGTAGAAGTCCTGTCTGATCTGTTTTATTTTCAGTTTGGCCCAAGGAAGAAAGAGGTTATCTTAGGTAGGGTTCTCTGAAATAAATGTAAATAATAATAAAATTTGAGACAGGGGGTGGTTTCTGGTGTGCTATGGTTCATGGGGTCGTGAAGAAGAATCGTTCACAACTTAGCAACTGAACAACAACAACCAAACCGAAGGGAAAGGACTGGTATTTGCTGAGATGGGTGTGAAATTGAAATAGTGGCTGTGATCTATGACTTTTGGTATGGTCCAACCTTATATAGTGGAAAAATGTTCACACTCATGGAGGCTGTGAAAAGTCTATTATTTTTATTGTGACGTTTTAAGAAGGAAGAAAGTGGCTTGAAAGAAGCCTGCAGATTTGGATGCTTGTAAAATAGGGATACCATCAAGTCAAAAATGGTTGAGTTGAATCTGAGCTGTGAAGAAATTTCCTGCAGTTTACTAAGCGAGATCATTGTGCACCCAGATAATTCAATATATATGCTTACATGAGGTCTGGTTGGAATATAAACTACTATTTCTGTCCTGAAGCTCCTTTGGAGTTTAATGCATGATCAATGACCAACATCTATAAGGTGCTAATCATTTAAATATGAAAGAATGATAAGGAAAACCACACAAAAGCATTTCTACACAATTTCTTCCCCTCTTTGAGTGGAAGTGAAAAACACAACATTGCTTTATGTACAGATAACAGGATATTCCTGCACAGCTAAATAGCACCATCTTCTGGGCAACAAAAATTTAAACATCATAGATGTTCGTCTTTTGTTTCCTATCACACATCTCTGCTTTCGGTCCTTCCCAGATCTTTTTCTGACTAGGACTTTAAAAAAACCCACGATATTTTCTGATATGTATATTCCATGAAGCAATCAACGTTTGTTATTTGTTCTGCTCCATAATTGGCTTCAGAGTTTAACATATTTTTATTTATTTTTATTATTTTAGGCCTCGGATGCCAGCTCAGAAAAGTTGTTCAATACAGTCACAAACAAAGGTAAGTTTACACACTTCCTTCTTCGGTTCTGTTTATTGTGCTACCTCTGTTACATCTTACAATTTTCATAAATCTTGTCTTTGTCACTGGACAGTTGCTTCATTTTTTTTTTAGGCTACTGTTTGTATTTTGAAACTCAGGGAAGAAAAACCCTGGTTAAAAAGGAGAAAAAAATTCATTAAATATTATTCAGTGATATCTGATTTGATAGGTTGAAATTAATCAAAGTAGCCATTTTGGGAAATGTTTAACTGTGGCTATTTTCCATCTGGTTGCCTGATGGGTACAGATTTAAGAAGAACTAATTTGTATGTTAGGCAGTTACTATTAAATGCCATTTAGGGTTCATGTCGTGAGGATTATGTATGGAATCCTGTCTATGGGAGCTGCTTTTAAAAAGTCAATTTTTAAAAAATTGTGACAATTCCCTGCAACATACGATTAGTTTCATTAATTCCTCTCAGGCTGCCATAAATGTGGGTGTGTGGTTAATGGCCATAACAAGAAGGTGTAGCTGGGTTTGCAGCAATGAATTAATAGAAGTTATTTTGAGTGTACTGCTGTATAATGGGATTTTCTGCATGTGTGCCTGGATGTATTCAGCAAGTACAGATAGTCCTTGACTTAGAACCATTCATTTAGTGGTCGTTTGAAGTTACAACTCAAAAAACTTGACGACCATCACAGCAACTCCACAATCAAGTGATCAAAATTTGGGCAGTTGGTAACCAGCTTGTATTTAAGAGGGCTGCAGCATCCTGAAGTCACGTGTTTGTCATTTCTGATCTTCCCTGCCAGCTTCTGACCAGCAAAGTCAATGGGGAGGAAGCCAAACCCATTTAACCATGATTCATGAAACTGCAGTAATTTGCTTAATAATTATGCCCCCCCCCAAAAAAAGATTGAAAAATTGGGCATGATTCACTGTACAGCTGCTTTGCTTAGCAACTGAAATTCTGGTCTCAATTGTGGTCGTAATTCGAGGACTACCTGTATTTGAGATGGAAAGTGGAGAATATCTTTGTTGAAGACGGGGAATTTTAAAGATTTAGAATCGGGTTACTGTATCTTTATTTAATCTTCCTTTTCTATCTTTTCTGTTTCACTGAGCTTCTGGTATTAAGTTGCCGTTTGGTTAAGCAGAGTATTTATAGAAAAACTTGGCATCTTATGAGGTCCAAAGACAGTTTCTAGGTGGGATTGATTAGTGACTGAAAGCCTGAGAAGAATTCAGACTTAGTGTTTAGCCTCTCTAATTGAAAAAAAAAGGGTGAGCCATGAACTTACTTTGAAGGCCGTCTCTGGCACTGTCTTTAAAGTCTAAATGGGACTTTAAGTTCTTGGCAGTATTTCACCAAAAATGAATCAACTGAATAAACAAAAATGCCATTCTGATTTACAGTGTTTAAAAAAAGGTCCAAATACTTTTGAATTAAAGTGAACGTCTAGTTGGAGCTCAATATCCATGAAATTTGCAAGGATCTAGCAGAAGTGGTTGGTCACTGTCTTTTTGAGTTTTCAAGGTCTTGGTACAGCCTACAATTCTGGAATTTTTTGGTTAGCTCCCTGTCAAGAACTAATAATTCTTAATTCTCTCCTTCCTAAAAACCTGAAAAGATAAGGAAAAACCAGGGGAATTGAAGCCCAGAATAATGTCAAATGCAGGTGCTAGAAGTTGGCAATAATCTGTTTGATAGTATCAATAGTTATTGGCATTCAAAAATAAACAAGACCTCCTGAAGACCAAGAATAACAAGTTCTTGCACTGTTTTTCTTCATCTGGGCATCTCTTAGGAAGAATTATGAGGAATAAGCAACTCTTCTGGGTGAGGTTCAGCTTGGCTTTTTGGTAAAATGTAGATAATTAAGGACTAATAATTAGGACCTGTTTTATTCTATTTTGCATTGATCAGATTCCCGGGCCTCAAAATACCCAACATAACAGAGTAAACAGAATAACAATAGAATAACAGAGTTGGAAGGAACCTTCAATGTTTTCTAACCAATCCTCCTGCTCAAATAGTAGGCCCTACACCATTCTGGAGATATGGCTGTTCAGTCTCTTCTAAAAAGCTTCAGTGTTGGAGCATCCACAACTTCTGGAGACAAGCTGTTCCACTGATTAATTGTTCTAACTGTCGGGATATTTCTTCTTAGTTTTAAGTTGCATCTCTCTTTGACAGGCTTCCACCTTTGACCCCTTGTCGTACCTCAGATACTTTGGAGCAGGGATCTGCAACCTTGGCAACTTTCAGACTTGTGGACTTCAACTCCCAGAGTTCCTCCGTTTTGCTGGCTGAGGAATTCTGGGAGTTGAAGTCCACAAGTCTGAAAGTTGCTAAGGTTGGAGACCCCTGCTTTGGAAAATAGGTTATTCGTCTCCTTTTTGTGACAGCCACTCAAATATTGGAAGACCGCTATTATGTCATCCCTAGTCATGATAGACATAGGTTTTTTTTTTTACATGGGTCATGTGATTCATGTAGAAAAGGGGCAGGGTTTCAATTATAAAGTTGTGGCTGCCATCTTTACTTTTTTAAAAACTTCATTTTGCTGATGATTCTGTTCTACCTTGAAGAGGAAGTTAAACTCCCTAGCTTAATTGGCCCTTTTTAAATTTAAGTTTCTGTGTTCAAATTACAAGGTGAACAAGACCAGATTAAGATCTAGCAAATGCTAAGCTTCATTAGCATTGATGTTGGTTTGATGTTTGGTATGTGGGTGTGTGCTTTTAGTTCTGTTGCATGAACCCAACCTGTCTAGCTGTTCATGTTTTGAAACCTGGACAACTTCCAGTATGGACTTCAGTTTCCAGAATTCTCACCAATGGTCCCGATTGGAGAATTCTGAGTGTTCAAATCCAAATTTCAGGAATTATCCCGGAAACATTCTGACGCTAATGTGTGATTTGTGTATTGTGCAAACCAAGAACATGAATTAATCCAGTAACTGGAGAAGGTGTGTTGTCTAGGTAATTTGGGAATAACATACAATTTGAATTCCAGTTGAATTTAATTAAGGTTTAATTCAATACAGTTGCTTTCATTAGTCCTCCAGTATTTGACAATTTCCCTCACTATTTGGGGAACAACTATTTGAAAAATTTTGGACTACTTTGTGGCCACAAGTAATGAACTTTGGGCACAAGTATCTCTAATTTTTTTATTAAATTTATACCCCACTTTTCTTTCCAGTATGTATGACAGTATACAGAACATTCTTTTGCTTTCCCTAACAACTAGCACCCTAAATGTTCCTGAAAGAAAGTCATTTTTTTCCTTAGTGTGTTTGAGTCATTCTTGACCTCTAGCAACTATATAGACAAGTCTTGGCAAGATTTTCCTAAGACTGAGAGAGAGGGATTGACTCAAAGTCACCTAGCTGGTTTCAGTGCCTAGGGCAAGATTAGATTAGATTAGTCTCTTGATTCCCTAGCTTGGTGCCTTCAGCCATTATACCAAACTTTCTTAAGACTAACTGACCTTAAGTCACCCAGAGAACTTTTGTGATTGAGGAGGGATTTGAACTCAAATCTCCCTGATGCCAGTTCAACATTTCATCCCTGATGCCAGTTCAACATTTTATAGGAAACAGAGCATCTTACATACTGCTTTGAAGTATATAAATCTTACACTAAGTATATAAGTCTTTAAAGAAGTACATACCTCTTTATATACTTACCTTTGACAACTGGGTTAAATGAATTAGTGGTTGTTGTGATCCTTAATTGTCTTTCTTTCAAAGATTCATTAGTTACCTGGATATTTTCCATTAACATGTGCTGGAATCTGCTTCCCAGTTTCTAAAAAGTTTTTAGAACTTGACAAAAGAGACTTCTGTAGATGGCTAGTGATTTCCTCAAAATTAATAACAGTGATATAATTATTGTAGGAGTTTCTGGATATGAGGATTTGTGAGCTGGCTGTTATATTCTCAGACTTCAGAACATGAGTTTGTATCTGTGGTTTAGCAATGGGGATATCTGGTTCGGTTTCTTGCCTCTTATTCTCCAAATTATGGAATATGGAAGATCTACCACATTGGCACTCATCTGCCATAAGAGCTAAGATTTGAAAAACAGAGCTTCTCTTTGGTCATTAGCAATTATATGTGGCTATCCGAGAACTGAATAAGCTTTCAGGCCTGAAGTTCATGTAGAGCCGGGGGATCAAACTCAATTTCATTGAGGGCCGCATCAGGGCTGTGGTTGATGGTGGGGGGACGGGGGGCAGGGCTGACTGGGTGGGCATGGACAGCTTGACGCCACTCCTCAAACTGCCGGCATGTTTCCTCTTTCCATTGAGTAGGCCAGGCCGAAGCCACACTGGCCCAATGTTTCCTCTTTGCATTGGGTAGACTGGGCCGAAGCGATGTGGACTGGCCCCTTATATTTTCCAGGATGATCCAACCACATCACAGGCTGCATCTGGCCCATGGGCCTTGAGTTGACACCCCTGATGTAGAGGTAGTCCTTGATTTAATGACTGTTCGAAGTTATGACAACATTGAAAAAAATGACTCACAACAGGCCTTATCCTTATGACTGTCTCAGCATCCACACAATCATCCGGTCCAAATTTGAGCGCTTGGCTATGTTTTTATAAAAGTTGCGATGTACCAGGGTCATGAAACCATTATTGGCGACCTTTCCAGCCAACTTCTGACAAGCAAAGTCCACGAGGGAAGCCAGATTTGCTTAATGACAATGTGATTTGCAACTGCAGTGATTCACTTAACAATCATGGCAAAAATGGTCATAAAATCACCACCTTGTTTAACAACGGAAATTCTGGTCTCAGTTGTGTGCATACGTTGAGGACTATATGTATGGTAATTGTCTTCGCATGCAGTGCTCAAGCACATAAACTACCATATGTTATAGCATATATTATGTCCATGCTAAGTGAGTGCCTGAACAAGGACAAACAATTGCACATTTTGGACTTACCTACATCAATGCTTCCAAAACTTTTCCCTTTATTACCCAAAATTGCTTCCCC